ATCAAGTTAATTGTTCTCGGTAAAGATATCAAATTAAATTATGTATGAAAAATAATGTCACAATAAAACATAAAAAAAATAAGAATCATAATACTACAATTTTGAAAATTAAATAAGCTTTACTTTGAACAATACCATCACTAACTAGGTGATTTTGAATTTATATATGCGTTCCATTATGCATTTCAATGTACAACTGGTACATTATGTTATCATGACTTTGATAATGCAATTGTTAAGTCATTCTTATTTATAATTCTCCTTTTCCCCCTCTTTTCTCACTTCTGGTGAAAAGATCCAAACAATACATTTAACATATATATAATCATGTTTATAGCTCCATTCACTTCCAGGAATAGATTGTTTCATTCACTTCTGGGAATGAAAATGACTCAAATGTAATATCATTTTCATCTTTAATGGAGAATATACCAACTTATAATAGAAATAAAATATGTTCCATAATATTGATATTGCAGGAGCGTATATGAATTTGCTCTTCCCTTTGATTCTTGGTATAATAAAGTCTTTTGCGTACAACGGGTACAAGACGAGCACACTTTTCCATTACAATGGTAACATACATAACAAATATTCTTGTTACCATGTCCACTTCTTTCTTTGCCCTTGGATTCTTCAATTTCCACTTCTGGGGAATATATGGGCTTTTGGAACTTGCATTTTCTAAATATCAATGTACGATGGATAAGAATAGGATAACACTGATAACTGAGAAATTGACTCATCACTTATATTACTTTTCTTGTTAATCCAAATAGATCGACATGATAAAATATCAATGGATACGAGAAGTAGCACCCATCTTGATATATCGGAATGAGATAATCTCAACACAAATAAGACAATAAGATAAGAAAGGATCTAAGAATTACATACCTTGATCATATTGTGATCTTACTCCAATATCTTAGATTATGTTGAGAGTCTTTGAGCAATGATAATTTTGGCAGAGCTTCGTGCTGATAACGTGTTATGAAAATAATGAAAAGATAAACAACTACAAGAGAAGATTAGAGAGGGAAAGACACAAAGAAGAGAGAGGAAGTGAGCTTTCTTATTCGTTCTTCACTTTTGATACAATGGAGTGCTATATTTATAGGCACACTTTGGTAACCACTACATTCTTATATCAAAGCATATGAATGAGAGATAATGATATAGAAATAGGATTACATGTAACTCCCAAATGAGCATCTAATGTGATAGGTCATTGGTCATCCATATATCAATATTTACATAATAATAGATGATCATTCACGAACAACTAAAAAGTAAAACCTAGTACTACTTACTAGATACATGAATGATTGGCGTCAGAGCTACATGGGTTCAACACTATTCTCAATCCTAACTAGATTTCTAAATTTGAAAAATCATCCCTCCATCCATGTGTCATTATTCCATTTACATGAACACTATTGTGTTGTTATGGGACATTTGCTTTTGCTTCAAGAGTCGGTTAAAAACAAATAAAGTTTGTCTTCGTCGTTGTTGTTTTCAATTGATCGATCCCCTATTCCCCTTAAAGAAAGGAAGAAAATGGGAATGGATGACAATCTAACACCGCAATTAGCGGGGAGCGAAGGATGAACAGAAGCTCCTCCTCCTGTCGCTAGCGCGGACTAAAAGTGTGTATACCACCTTCAAAAGAAAAAACAAAATTTGGAAGAAATGGAGGAAACGAAATGATTGAAAAAGTAAACGGCGAGCTGCCCTCTACCTCCTGCCATCCACTGCAACAAATAGATCCATCCCAATTCTCACTACACCAGTCCTCCACTCCCACTGCCACCGTCCATCCATCTCTTTCTTCCCCAATTCCCTTCTATCTCTGCAATCCCCACTCAACCTCTGCTTCAGTCGTTTTCCCCATTCCCCCGAAACCCTACTATTAATTTCCCGCCCTTCTGCGGAAAGAGATAGTGGGTAGCCTGAAATTGCAGAGATGGAGTGGGACAACACCGCCGCCGCCGCCGATCACCACCGTCAGCAGCAGCGCCATCACGACGGTTGCAATAACGGCGACCCAATTCTCAATTTCCCCAGCACCAACAGCAACACCACCGCCAGCAACAGCATTAACGCCGCCGCTGCAGCCGCCGGGAATATGCTGTACGTCAAGGTCATGACCGACGACCAGCTCCAAACCCTCCGCAAGCAGATCGCCGTCTACGCCACCATCTGCGAGCAGCTCGTCGATATGCACAAAACCCTCTCCGCCCATCAAGATCTCGCCGCAGGTCGCCTCCCCCTTCTTTACTCTTTTTCTAGTAGCTCTGCAGAATGTGAGAATTTGAATTGATGTTCCAATGTTATAGCTCTTTTCCTCTGCTGAAAAGCTTTGGTTTCTTTTGGAGGCAGGAGGGAGGCTGGGGAGCTTGTACTGCGACCCATTAATGGGCGGAGTGGGAGGCCACAAGATGAGCGCCCGCCAGCGCTGGACGCCGACGCCGCTGCAGCTCCAAATTCTCGAGCGAATATTCGAGCAAGGGAACGGGACGCCGACCAAGCAGAAGATCAAGGAGATAACCTCACAGCTCAGCCAGCACGGCCAAATCTCCGAGACCAATGTCTACAATTGGTTCCAGAACCGGCGCGCCCGTTCCAAGCGCAAGCAGGCTCCTACCACCACTACTAACAACAACAACAACAACAATGGTGGTGGTGGTGGTGGGGATGTTTCGGAAGTGGAGACTGAAGTGGATTCCCTGCAGATTGATCATCATCACAACCATCATCATCAGGACTTGATCATGAACTGCAGCAACTCGAAGTCCGAGGAGATGATGTACTGTAGGAATACTGCTGAAGATCATTGCTTTCAGACCAACCATGTTGACCAATTGCATTACTTGTCTCAGGGTTCTCAGCCTTCTGCAGCAGGGAGCTACAATCTGTATGATCAGGCGGCCGATGATTATGGTTTGGCGGGCTAACGCTGTTGCTGATTGTTGTTGTTTGTAACATTATTTCCCACTAAGGCTTTTTGTTTTGGTTACAACTTGAATTCCTAAGTGGAGTGGGGTTCCTGTCCTTTGTTATGTTGACAGGGGAGACTAGTTGTTTTGTCGACAAAGAGCAACCATGGTGCCATCCCTGCCTCGCGCTGCTGTTTGTTGTTTGTTTGTATGCAGAGTTGAAGAAAAGATTGATTATTTATTTGATTGATTGGTTGGCGATGTTATGGGATGGAATGCTAACGCATGTTCTTGCCTATTATAAGCAAATCTAAAGAGAAGCTCGAGGTGTCTTTCCTCCCTATTTTTCAAAGACGGTTTAACCTCTAAACAGAAATTATATAAGAAAATTTAACCGATTCAATCTTAGCGGTTAGCTGCTGCATGTTAATGGTTCGATTAGCGATTATTTTGACTGATTAATAACAAAGAGTTGTTGCTTCATTATTATTCCAATAATTTGATGTCGCTAGTATTTTACAATTCATAGAAAAAGTATCAGCTATGGGAGCACAAAAGAGAGAAATTACGAGTATTGTTGTAGAGTTCGATTAAGCCAAGGTGTGTAGGTTGGTTTTTGTGCTTAGAACAATTTTTGTTTATTTCGTCTTATTATTATTTCATATTTAGGTTCAAGAAGGCGTTAGGCGTAAGACGGGTGTTGAGACTTTACATAGCGTTTAGCTTGCCTAGGCGTAGAATAAGCGTGCCTATGCGTTAGAAGAAAAATAGCTATTCACACTTCATGATGAATGATATAATAATCTAGAACACTTCTTCACTTAAGTTAAGATAATTAATAACTTACTCAACCCTTAATGACAATAACATAGCTCACGAATTCATAGAAGAGTAGCTCACAAAGTTCTTAATCTATTGAAAATATTGATATAGAAAATTGATTTCGTAGCAGATATTAATTTTCTCCTTTATATTGACTTTCTAGCTCCATGTAGTTATGTTTAGGAGAGATTTAGATGTCGCCTTACTGCATTGACGTGTTACGGTATTACCTTTAAATAACATAATATAAACAATCAAAAATTATGAATAAATAAAATCATATCTCAGCTTGAGCCGGTCCAAAAAAGCTAAGTGATGAGTCGATGTCTAGTAGAACTCATGAGCTCATTAATGAGCTGAGCTAGAGTCAAACACAAGTTAAGATTTTAGTAGACAAGCTAAGTTCGACTCATTTATTAACTAGGCGAACCACAACTATATCAAAACTTGGTTCGACTCGACTCATTTGCAGCCCTACCATTCAATGTAAGTTTGAATGCAGGTTGCACTTTGCATATGTTTTTCTACCAAAAAAAGTAGGGATGGCAAAATTATCCTTAACCGTGGATATCCGCGCGAATCCGACTTAATCGGGAACGGGTAGGATAAGACCTGAACTCGAAAGACTTTTAGGGGGTATGGGTAAAACCCGAACCCTAATATTGAGGGAAATGGGTGGGCATAATTTTCTTACTATCCAACCCGAACTCGCCCGATTATACATATGTGTATGTACTTTGTCTAGAAATAATCATTATTTTTCTCTAACATATTTTACATTTAGCATATTAATATAATATTTTCATGAAATTGTGTTGTTTTAATTAATTTTCTTCATTCTAGTGAATTATTGTCGTACTTTTCCTCTGATTTAATGTGAGAATACGTGGGAATGTTTACATATTGGTTGGACTTAGAAATTATTACCTATGGATAACCGTAGATACCCAAAATCCGAACGGGTCTGGACATGATTTTGATTTTCTACCGATTTCTTATGTGAGTGTAGGTATGGGTAAAAACCGGACTATTTTGGGTAGGATAACGGATATCCAGTATCCGCCCCCGACCTGACCCATTGTCATCCCTAAAAAATGATCATTTTGTTATAAGTTTAAAGTTATATGACCATTTTGTAGAAATACTAAAGTTGTCTGATCGATTTAGATAGTTACCATGTTTATGTGAGTTAAACCCCTGAAAACCCCTAATTCCCTCCGACGATCGCCCTCGGTTGCTCGCCAACTCTTCCCCTCCTCACCTTCACAAATTTCCGAATTCCGCAATTCATTGTTGCTTTCACCTCCATTTGGATATGGTGATCGCTAGAAACCTCTCCGTTGCGAAATCGAAGCTTAAGCCCCTCTTCTCCCTTTCTCGCTTCTCCCCATCTCTCCAAAACCATCATCCCCTTCCATCTCCTGCACACCACCACCGTTTCGCCGAAGGAAAGGGCTCCTCCGTCTCCGCTTCTCCATTTCCCTCGTCGTATTCCTCTTGTCATCCTTTCACTTCAGCTGCCGCGGCAAAATCTCAGAAGCCTTCGTCTTCTTTGCTCCTCTCCCGCGATGGTAATGTCGACGAGGCAACTCCTTCCGCCGCCGTTTGCCCTGGCTGCGGCATCCGTATGCAGGATTCAGACGCCAAGCATCCCGGATTCTTTGTCAAACCTTCGTCAAGGGATCCCAGTTATAAATCCAGAGGGCGGCTGGTACCAATAGCGCTAGAGTCGCAAGTCTCCAGTTCCCTGAAAAAGGGTTTTGTTGAAGACTCTGAAAATCCTCAAACCAGCGCTGCTTCGACCGGGGGAAAATTCTCCGGTAGGCCTGTTGTGTGCGCCCGCTGTCACTCGTTGAGACACTACGGAAAGGTGAAGGACCCAACTGTGGAGAATCTGTTGCCAGAATTCGATTTCTATCATGCTGTAGGAAAGCGTTTGGTTTCAGCCTCAGGGGCCAGGTCAGTAGTTCTATTAGTCGTGGATGCTGTTGATTTTGATGGGTCATTTCCGAGGAGGCTTGCGAAGCTTGTGACAGAAGCCATTGATGAGAACTACACGAATTGGAAAGAGGGGAAATCAGGGAATGTGCCTAGAGTTGTTCTGGTGATTACGAAGATTGATTTGTTGCCTACTTCTTTATCGCCCACTCGATTCGAGCATTGGGTTAGGCAGAGAGCCAGGGATGGTGGTGCTGGTGTTATTAAGAAAGTCCATTTTGTGAGTGCTGTCAAGGATTGGGGGTTGAAGGATTTGGTTGAGGATGTGAAAGAATTGGCTGGGGCTAGAGGTCATGTGTGGACTGTTGGAATGCAGAATGCTGGCAAGAGTACTTTGTTGAATGCGATGGGGAAGTGTGCTGGTGGTGGAAGTGAAGCAAAGGTTATTCATTTAACAGAGGCACCTGTACCAGGAACTACTCTGGGGATAATTAGGGTGGAGGGTGTTCTTCCTGGGAATGCAAAGTTGTTTGACACTCCAGGGCTTCTTAACCCGAATCAGATTACAACTCGCTTGACTAGGGATGAGCAGAAGCTTGTTCAGATTACTAAGGAGTTGAAACCGAGGACGTACAGAATTAAGGTTTGTTAGCATATGCACCAAAAAAGGGCAATCTTTATCCTTATTTCATTGACTAGGAAGTACAGCAACTTGACCATTGGAACAATATGTTCCATTCACATTATTGTAGTGCAGATAAAATTTGTCCCTTTTAAGTATGACTATTTGTTTCTCATTGCATGCTATATGTTGACGCTTTTTCTAAGGAACACTGATTGTGACAGGTAGGTTACTCAGTTCACATTGGTGGACTTATGAGGCTAGATATTGAAGAATCATCGGTGGACTCTATATATGTGACTGTCTGGGGTTCGCCATATCTTCCACTACATATGGGGAAAACAGAAAATGCAAGCACTATGTTTGAAGAACATTTTGGCCGTCAGTTACAGGTAAATTGCATCTTGGCCTCATTGGTTAGTTGTTTCTCTAGTGACTGTTGTGAACTGTGAAGGATAGCATCAGCAAAAAATTTACCACTTGATATATAGACTCTCTACCAGCTCTCTAGCAAAGGATTTTTATGCTAACTGCAGAGATATGTATACGTGAAATGATCTTACGTGATGTTCCTTATTTTTCAGCCACCAATTGGGGTAAAACGAGTCCAAGAGCTTGGAAAATGGGTGAGACATGAATTCACCGTAACTGGGAATAGCTGGGATTCAAGTTCAGTAGACATTGCTGCAGCAGGTCTTGGCTGGTTTGCGATTGGACTAAAAGGAGATGCAGTCTTAGGTGTTTGGACATATGATGGAATCGATGTGGTCCTTAGAAACTCCTTGATACCTTATAGAGCAGAGATTTTTGAAGTTGCAGGGTTTACAGTCTCGAAAATCGTATCCAAAGCTGACCAAGATCTAAATGAAACCAAGAGGAAACGCAAAGTGCGAGAAGTAGCAGTAGCTGCTGATGCAGCTTGATGGAAAGTTGGCGAGGGAAGAATATAAACTTATGTTTGTACAAGCTGGGACTCCTCACCCTAGTGATGCAGAAGAGGCATAAGTTAAATGCAACAAAGGTGTTTCTGGACTGCCCTCGGCACGATTGAATGCCCACCACAGCATACATCGATGGGGATCTTTGTGTTATGGAACAACAGAAGAGTGATCTGGGACGCTGTATTTGAACAGGTGAAAGGAATTTGAAGTGGGCACCGTCGTGTGTACTGGTTAGTTCTTGTCACCAAAGCTGAAGTGATTAAATTTGGTTAGCTTCGCCTACTTGGTACTGAATAGAGAAGCCTTCCTGGATGCTGTTGTGCATTGAATGGGTAATTCTGAAGAGTGGAGAAAAATTTTCTGGTATCATTTTGTATGTTAACTTTCCTTTCCAGTTTTTGATTGCCATTGCTGCCTTTCATTCTCATGTCAACTTATTCACGTTTCGTGGTGTTTATCCAATAATACATGGTATTTGTCCATATTCTCTGTACATCCAGAACTATGGCAGTGAGAGACGGGAAGAAGTAAAAGACATTCTCCTGTTGGCATTTTGATTTCATGAGATGAACATATACATCAGAAAACAACTCAAAGAATCGATTAAATGGAAAATCGTAGTCCTACACGACACTTTATCTACTTGTTTTGGATGCACATCTTAAGCAGCTCCTCTGCCAGCAGCTAACCGCTGGGTTGCACGACTGATGCTGAGCTCCTGACGTTGTAAAATAAATGTGTCGTTTTTCTTCGTCAAAGCTAATACCTTGGTGATCTCACCATGCAACCCTGCCAAGTTCACCAGAGGTGCGGTTGTGGGTCGCCCATGAGCACACTGCATCAGCACAATCGCACAAATCACCATTTCCATTCCTTCACATTGAAGAAACAAGGGCGATAGTAGCTAAACAAGGTGCCACCACCTACACTTACTTGAAAACAGAGACGAGTCTTCTCCAGTTCTTCCACGATTAGCGCACATTCCGATTGCAGCAAAGAATCGCCAAACATAATTGCACCTTCAATGCCATGCGGTACAGGATCAAGCCTCAGGAATCAGTAACACCAAACCCACAAAAAAAAAAATATCACTTCGCTTATATTTCGTAAACTCTAACCTCTGCATGCTTTTGAATTCAAGACTCTACCAACGCATGGTGGTATTGTTGAAGCCCCATCCGTGTCAGCAAGCTACAGATTGGAAAGGAAGTGTCAACTCAAAAAAGCTCGAAGGTTGGGCTGTTATGAGAATGGACATTGAATCGACTACCTGCTGAAGAAATTCCAGGAGATCTCCACCAGACAAATTAGTTCCTAAAATGCAGGGTACCTGCTCATCAGACAATCAAGGATGTTAATTAATTTTTTTAAACCTTTTTCTAAATGAATATCACTTAAGAAGTAGTTTTCAGTTCCCATCGAAACTTGGCTACAAAATGAGACAAAAAAAGTTGTTTGCAAAATTAGTAGGATGATCTGAAACACGGACGAAGTTGTTATTTACCGCAATTAGGGTCACTACTGCCGTATGTTGGTGGAGGACATTCAAGTTCCTGCAGAAAATTCAGAGATGAAACTCCAAAAACAACCAAAACTTGGAGCAGGGAGAGAGAGCGAGAGACTGTGAAAGAGATTACTTGTTGAACATCCCTGAACCTTGAGCTTGCATGTTGCAAATCCAACCCCATTCTCTTACTTGACCAGCATAATCATGAAGAAGCTGATATCCAAACTCAGGAAGAATCTGTTTTACAAGTCCCCCAGTATTTCCAAATCATTAGGAAGAACGTAACAAAAGCCTACAACATGCTAGGACAGAAACTTAAGCAGAAAAGAAACAGGCATACCAGCTCTTCTTCGGGATCGAGATATGATATTGTCCTAGCCTTTCCAGATAACACCTAGAGAGTCATTCAAATTTTTATGTTATTACTGTTCGGATGCAAACAACAACCAAGGGAACTATTTTTTTTTTTTTTTAACCTTGTCTCGAAGTTCCTCCAGCCGGATCCTTTCATCTGCTGCATGCTGCAAAATGTCAAAACAATTATGCGAACTGTTATTTTACACATAATGACCTGTATTTAATTGTAATCTAAGTGTGATGTCCAAGGTAAAACTCATGCAGCATGTTGCTGACATTTAGAAGAAAGTGAATGGCACCTGGTCTATAACACAGAGAGTTCCACCAGCAACCACTGGAATAAATTTCTTGTCCAATTGATGAAGAACCTTAGCCTTCCTGAGGCAATTCTTCTGTAGAGATTCTGGAATCAGTTCTCTACCAGCCAAACTGAAGAACCCTGAAGATATGTCAAGTATGCTACTATGGTAACTGCCACCATCACATCCTGTTTTCATATTTTTCTCCTGCATAGAAGATCCAGTAACAGGAAAAAAGGAAATTAGTGGAGAACAAATAGTATTGCTCTGATGAGATGTAACAGTTCTTCAGATATTAAGATAAGAAACTTAATTACTTTAGAGGAGTTCCTCCATTTGGTGACAAAATCTTCCAACTTTCTGCTTCCATTTGTCATAAAGCCTGATAAATGAAAAATGGAAGTGTAAGGACTTAAGATTGGACATGTAAAAGTAATGTAGGTGAAACCGTGAACGAAAAGCAACCGGATCCTTAGCTTAGGATGAAGCTACAACACAGTAAACCTAGAGAGTTCCCTGAGTTCATTAAGTAGCCTTCATCTTCAGTTATCAATAGATAATTTTTCTTTAATATTTTCCACTCCCGAATGTATGTAAAACCCCAATCTCAATCAACCTTCAGTAACATTGTCAACAAAAAAATCAACCTTTACTAACGCCAACTGAAGTGATATTGCTCAACAACCATAATTTTGTCCCAGGAGTTGGATTTATAGTCACCTGGAGAATTATGCACCTCCAGGCACCCATGTTCAACCTGTTTCCCTTCTAGAACCTCCACATCTGGCACAACACTTTTTCTGTACTTCATTTCTGGTCTGAAATGAGGCCCAAGGAGATGCATAATCGGTTTCTGGTTTGAAATCAGGCTCAATGAGATGCGTAATCGATACATTGCACTAGTCTCAAGTGGAAAAGAGAGAGAATCATGGTACCTGGTGGTTGAAATAAGTTCCTCGCCACTATTTGGCGCAAAATCCATAATTTCGTTTCTCCCTGCAAAATATGCACGTTAATTATCTTGCATCTCTATAAAACATCACAAATTCAGGTATTAGACTTGAAGCATTACCATCAATATACGCCAATTCAGTACGAGGTTTCCTTCCTGCTGCGAATGAACTATTCAAGGGAACACACTTCCTCTTCTGCTTTACAGATGGAGGGGGAGAGCAACTTCTACTGCAGTGATGTCCCTGAAGATCATTCTTCCCACCTTGGTATCCTAGTTTCTCCCGTTCATCGTTATACTTGTCATGACTATTTTGACCTTCAGAATGCAAGTCAAACTGTAACCAGCCAGCCCTATCTCTTGACAGGTGATTCCGCTGTAAGGATAACAACCTTGTGTCTTTGTCTCTCTCACACCTTACACCCACTTCATCTGTTATATCCAGTTCATCTTCACACTTGCCATTTCTAGTTTGACCTTCAGAATGCAAGTCAAACTGTAAACAGCTAGCCTTATCTCTTGACACGTGATTCTGCTTTGAGGATAACAACCTTGTGTCTTTGACTGTGCCACACCTAACACCCACTTCATCTGTTATATCCCGTTCAACTTCATACTTGTCATTGCTAGGTTGACCTTCAGAGTGCAAGTCAAACTGTAACCATCCCCCCTTATCTCTTGACACATTCCTACACTTCACACCCACTTCATCTTTAATATCACGGGGGAAGCTCTCAACATTCCAACTGGGCTGAAGAAAAGCATCTGAAGTTTCTGAATCAGAGTTGGATATAAACCATTTATCCGGTGCCGGCAAACCTCTGTTATGCAAGATAAAATCAGAATGAAGTCCTATGCTTTCAGCAAAAGCCTGCTCTCCCTGCCGTAAAAGGATATTATCCTTCTGTTTCCTACTCTCAACTTTTAGTTCACCTACGTTTTCATCAGCGCGAAGTCGCCTGCTTTTGAATTGGGGTTCAGCAAGTGGAAATTCAAGTTCTTCCTCGCGAATTAAAAAACCCTTGCTACATGACAGGCTTCTCAGTGATGAGCAACCGTGCAAGAAGTGGCCTTCCCCACTATCAGCGAATGACTGCACTTCCGGCCCTAAAAAGATATCACCCCCCTGGTTACTCCTCTCAACTTTTAGTACACCAATGTTTTCATCAGAGCAAAGTTGCTTTCTTTTAAACCGGGGTTCGCCAAGTGGAAATTCAGGTTCTTCCCCACAATTTAGGAAACCCTTGCTGCATGAAAGACTTCTCAGTGATGAGCAACCATGCAATAGGTGGTCTTTTCCGCTTTCAACAGATGACTGGCCTCCGTTCCCTAGAAAGATATCACCCCTCTGATTACTACTCTCAACTTCTAGTACACCCATGTTTTCGTCAGAGCAAAGTCGCCTTCTTTGGGACTGGGGTTCACCAAGTGAAAATTCAGGTTCCTCCTCACTATTTAGCACACCCTTGCTGCATGAAAAGCTTCTCATTGATGAGCAACCATGCAAGAAGTGGTATTTTCCACTTTCATTACCCTCTAGCTTTTTACTCCACACCTCATGATCTGAAGATAATGCAATCTTAGCTGACTCATTTTTGAGGGACTCATTCTGCCAGTATGTGAAAGGATTTCCCTCCATGTAATCACTGCAATTTTTTCCACTGGTAAGCCTGTCATCAGAAAACTCGGAATTGTGATTAGATACAAAAATTTTGGTGGCATACTCTTGGCCGGCATTAGGTATTTTTTCACAATCAGGGACATCCACCATGGGTTCCATTGAGAAGCCTCGTTGGCACACAGCTCTCCTTTCAACTTGCTGCCCTTTGAATACAGAAGCATGCACCTCAAATTCTTGAAATGTCGCTTCATGATCCCTGCAGCCGTATCCACTTTGACGAACCTCTAGTTGGTTTATCCACTCTTCATGATCTGAAGATAATTCCATCTTAGCAGACTCAATTTTAGGGGACTCATTCTTCCAATCTGAACTTAAATGGCTTCCCCCCATGTCCCCGCTGTGCTTCCGTCTAGTGTTATGTCTATATTCAAGATCGTCATTTGGGAAGTCAATACTGCTGAGAGATGCAGGAAAGTCAAACCCCATTTCCGATTGTTGCTCGTTGAACTGAGAAGCATCCATTTCAAATTCTAGACATGTAGCTTTATCATAATTCTTCTTAAAAGTTCCACCAAGATGCTTCTTCCGGTTTGGGAGGGGAGAATAATCAAGATCATACTGCTGTCTTTGAAACTTATCAATTGCAACAACCGAGTTCTCTGTTGAGTCTACGTCCAAACCATGGTTGTCAGTAACATCCATGCAAAGATGTGCAGATACATTTGTGATATAGATTCAAAATATATGCATTTGAAATTGAAAAGCATCCCCACAAATGATAGTAACGCACCTTCATTTCCAAATGAGATATCATCCTTTCCCTTCC